TCGACAGCTTTTCCTGGGCGGTCGTAAAACCTGAAAAGAATCAAAACAAGTCACGACGAGTCAAAACAAGTCACGGCGTTTTGAGAAAGCACACCGTTTTGAGTTTTTTACATGTTTTGACTCAGTTAATGAACATGGCACAAGCAATACAAATACCCGTGCAAAGCCACATTCCGAAATGGAACCAAGTATGGTTCTTTAGGAGTCCAGTATAGTCCAGTACTCCACTTCCAAGTCTTCATTTTCTGGAAGGATACCTCTATAATCTAGGCCTATCTAGGCCTTGTGCACACGACCACTCTCTGCTTTCTCAGCCAGTTTCACCCAATCAAAACCCTGGCACCAAGCAGCCCATGCTGTGCAGCATCTCATGGATGGCTGTGCCACAGTCGTTGCAGCCCGGCGTCTGCAAATTCAACTGCCTCGGGCTCCGCGGGCTCCACGTGGCACGCGCCCCACCGATACATCGCTATGTTGGCATTTGTCATCATCAAAGAGTACCCTGGTGAATAGTAGCACCTATACTGATGCAACAGAATGCAACAATTAACACCAATGAAGAATCATTTCTTAGTGGTGGTAGAGATCTAAAGCCCTGAAACTCATGGTGGAGTTGAACTCCACCATGAAGTCGCGAAGGAAATCACATCAAAAAAACATATCCTCCATACCATGGGGCCATCTGAGTTGCCATCATGCTGCCATCACACCTGTCACCTGCGAAGTGTGTTTGTCACCTGCAGAGTGAATAACATATTCAGTTCATCCTTCGAGTTCGCTAAGGAAACATCACCCAAACAATCCACTTCGGACTTCCGGCAGCGATGTCGGTGTCGGATGTTGGTGAATTCATTCATGAGTCCGACGGATTCACCGATGGAAACAAAGAGAAGACCGTCTTTAGACTCCTAGCCTAGCCTCCCAGCAAAAACAAACACACACACACACACACGCATATTAACACACACACACACACACACACTTTTTGTTGAGCTCCTTTTGTGAGCTGGGGGTTTCTTGCACTCTGGACCTTCTCCTTCGCCATGTCAAAGCCAAGTCAGGCCCCCCAAACAAGAACACAAGACAAACAGAAAGCCTTTTCAGACTTCTGGAACTGGACCATTTTGGCATTCGGCATTCTGGTCATTCAAACACCCCCCATGTGCCATCTCTCAAATCAACCACCGCTCCGGTCCCACCGAGCCCTCCGGTCACCCCTTCGGTCTCCCGGCTGGTTCCCGGTGAAGAAGCCTGAAAAGCTGCCCGTCATGCCTTGGGAGCCACCAACCGGGACCCGGAGTGGAGCCGGTGTGGAGCCGGAGATGTTGCTACCAAAAAAAGGGCGATCTGAGGATGATATATGATAATGTATACAATAGTCGTCTACAGTAATAGGAATTCAAAGTTCTTTCACTTTCAACGACACCTTTAGCATCCTTTAGCAACTTTAGCCAAGGGAAGCCAGCGGATTCACATGCACTCCATATTCACATGTCCGTGCTCGCGGCCCAGGTGCCGATATTAGCCCAGCACCCAGAGTTCTGGGACTGGACGAAGATCGCAGGCCTTGAATTGCAGCTTCCAGAGCCTAGGATGCGAAAGTCGCGCACGTTGGATGCTGAACTCGGTTGTCCGAAGCTAAGTCTAAAGTCAGTTTGCACGTACCAGTGTGAGGGGAATCAAACCAAGAAAACACGCGGACTGACTGCACAGGTCTAGTGTGCTTTGCAAATATCAGGCCACACCTGAACAGTCATGCGATCACTGGCTTCAGTGAAACTTTGTGGATCCTTGTCCTTATGGATGAAATAGGGTGTTCAAAACGTTCCTTCCTTCAAACGTTTGGGGTGTCCCTGAGTCATCTATGGATGTCCGAGGGCTTATTCCGACCAGGTCCGACAAGATCCCCGGATGATGGCATGTCCCACTCAATCCGACAAGGGACCTCGCTGCCCGACATTCGTAAAGGTAATACCAGGCACGGCTTGCCTGATCTTCCTGGGCCACAGGGCTTCTTTTTGTTGGCCGAGTGGTTTGCACGCCGGGGGAGTTTCCTGGTTTGTGAGGGTTTGGCTTGGGTCCAAACCCCTGCGTTCTGCAGGGTCAAAGCCCTCCAGTTCAGAGGGGTCCAATGTCCAGTTCAGAGGGTCCAATGATGGTTAGGGGCAGATGATCAAGGCTCGGTTTGTTTGAACTCCGAAACATGGGTCTCGTGATCTGTCGCTGTTCTTCCCTGTTCTCATGGGTCTCGGATGCCTCTGTGCTGTTCGTCTGGACCGAGCCTTGCATCTCTGTTCGGCCAGATTGTCACATGTTCATCAGTGCTACCATCAACAATCATCAACATGAAGCGGTTACAGTTGGGAATCTATGACATAGTTTCAGGCACAGGGCCTCGGCTTTGACTTGCTGTGGGAGAAATCCCGTGTTGACCATCGAGTTCTCGGGAATACCAAGCAAAATGATATGTCATTATGTACCTCGTGATGTTTTTCATGCCTGCAATTGTTGTCTTCATGTTTCTTCCATTCCTGCAAATGATTTACCTTATCAACTCACTCCAGTGGTCGGTCCTGTAGTCCTGGACCGATAGCACAGCGTGAATCAAGGTGTGGTGAAGTAGACATGCATATCTAGCGGACGACTTGGAACTATAATTCTGGAACTATCAGTCTATCTGTACATACCAGGACCCTCCAACAAGCGATTTTGGAGATTTTAACAAGTGGGTCTCTATAGGCACCTGTTGTCACCACGAAGCACCTGTTGGAGGGTGCTGATATGTACGGTTCGATGTGTTTCCAGAGTCATTAGAAACGACACAAGTCCAGACGCGAACCTCATTCTCATCGAACACGACTCACCGGCACCAGCGAGTGCGGAGACAACTGGCTCGGTGTCGAACGTTGAAGACAGAATTGACAACCGAGCCAGTGGGGTTGCCAACTGCACATGACTATTGAGTATTAGTTTGTCTCATTTATGCTCTGAATATACATAAAATTACATACATGCAGTATCAAGAACTGTTGTACTCTATCCCTGAAAAACGTTGACATCTGATGAGATCTGTCACTGTACCTTTTCCTGTGCATTTCACGATCTTCCGACGTCTCGGCCGAGCGTCGTAATGGCGCACTCGACGGCACTCTTGGCGCTAGGCGCCAGCTGCACATCGAAGCAGTACTTCACCTGCAGCGGCGATCGCGCGATCGCGGCTTCGGCGCGATCGCGGAGATCCGGTCGACTCGGGAGATGTGCATCCGGGTGGGCCGCATTTGGGTCACTTCCACATACTGCGAGTGAAACATAAATATGTAGGTGACTTGGAGGCTGGCAGATGGGATTCACATGCTCGAAACTTCAATGGTTGAAGTCGGTGATGTTTTCCCCGGTTCTAGAAACATGTTGATGAGGTGAAGGTCAACAATTTGAGGTGCAAGTATGTGCAAGTTGGGCTTCTAGCGAAACCAGCCTCGTTTTAGATTTTAGGATGTTTTAGGAATCAATCAAATGGGATGGAAGAGTATACAAACCCACATGATTCTAGTTGAACATCCCATATCATCTCAACACACCCACCTCCCCGTGCCGCATTTGGAAACTCCCACAACGCTCCGCCTCGGAATTGGTCCAAGGCGTGCCAGCACCGTAGCTCTTCGTCGGACTACACGCTTGGCCGGCGGGACAGGGCGTGTCGCCTCCTGCGAGGAACGCGGAAATCCATGCGGACGGCGACGGTGGTCTGCGACGTCTTTTCGGGGCGAGAAGACTACAGTGACGAGACGTGCTAAGCCGGAGTGGTTGGATTCCATTGAAGGGGTTGAAACACGCAACATGGCGTGCAACATGGAGTCCGGACTTCATAGGATATCCGGGAAAGTCTGATGACATGCTGTTTGGTCATGGCTCTGGGATATATTGGAAACCCTGGCTCCTCGGAGCCTTGTTGCTGTGGCACGAGAAGGTCGGTGGAGAACCAAAGCATCGAAGGTCATTGTCCACCGGAATCGTCCCTCTGTGGATCGGCTAAGGTCTAGTAGACTTTGACTTAGGGGAAGAAAACCCCAGTGCACATCTAATTACCTCAAATTTGGTGTATATTATATCATTAAAAACACCTATATAATATATTTGGCCGGCAACTGGAGTCTGCTTGTTGGGCATCTAATGAATATAGTCCTTTCATAGTCCTTTCATCCACCCAAATCCGGCCAAAAACATCTCACCAGTACCGGACGACGTGATCTTCCACCGCCTCGATCCAATGACACGTCTGTCCACAACCCGCCCGTGCCACCACACGTGCCACTCCGCACACGTGCCACTCCGCACACGTGCCACTCCGCACACGTGCCACGCCACACCGCACCTGCGGTGGTCTCTTCCATGTTCTTCTCCCCAGCCACCGCCGCTTCACCGCAGTGACTGGGCAACACGCGTCGGTGAGGTTCGGGACGGGAAAGGGGTCGACCTGCCTATGGTCGACCAAACGCTGTCTGGGTGGGTGGCTGGAGATCCCTAAGGAGTGGGCTGGGTGGTCCAGCCGGACCATCCATGAATTGGATGGTCCTGGCAGGAGGGGAGATTGGTAGATTCACGACCTGCACTGAGTGAGCCATGCAGTTGTTTTTGTTGAGGTGTCTTTTAACTAGACCTGAGGATGCTTGGAAGGGGAAGAATGGGGAAAAGCACATCTGACATGAAGCACTCCTTAACTTATTTTAAGGGATTGCAATCTATAGGCATAGGCCTTTAAGCATCCAAAGAAAGAACATCGAAATATGATTACTATACCTCGCGAAAACACCGTGGATCCAAAAACGCCCTGCTTTTCCTCATCTCCGGTGGCGCAGGACTTCCTTTGAACATATAGTAGAATGCAACCTTACGCAAAAAAAATAACAATAATAAATCAATATACACATTATATATATAACGGTTTTGAGCGATCCATTGTCACTTCCATGCCATGTCTTCCAAGCCATGGCCAAAAACAACTTTCAGAATTTGCTCCGACAGCTTGCCAAACAGGGGTCACTTGCGGGTCACAAATGGTCATGATCACTCCATCCTTCCGCATGGACCGACACCCCTTGGAGACCGGCGCCGGAGGATGGTCGACCCAAATGGTCAGGTGACCGTGACATTGGCTGTGACCAAACAGTTCCTAAACGTTCGTCCAGTCTGACCCAGTAAACCTATTATGTCCTTTTTTCCTTAATTCAGAATGACCAACTCCGAAGTCATTGGCCGGTAGGGAGTGAATCACACAGGTGTACCCCGAGTCTTGTCCCTTGGAGACTCGGTCAGGACGAGACGCGTCCGAAGACGACGACGACCAACACGCGCTCCACTGCTTCAGTCTTTCCGAACGTCGACCGGTGAACCGTCGTCGTTTATAGGCACCACGTCCTTCTCCGAGGCACTTGAGCAGCCAATCCAAATCCTCCCGCGTGGCCAAAAAACCCTTTGTGGCCGCCGTCTCGAACACCGGAGCACTTGGTGACGACCTCTGCAGCGCTGGACCGGACCGGAGGGAGGGCTGAACGAAGACGGAAGTCGCCGTCGCACCAAGCGCCAAACGGGCGCCCGGAATTGGTGCGCGACCCAAAACTGGTGTTGTCGTGTGGGTGCTGATCCTGGCATACACAAAGCGTGACACAATTAGAATCAATTAGATATGCCCGGATCCATTCAACATGCACATGTCTCACAATCTTCAATCATGTGCAAGGAGAGAGACTGATTCATCGACAAATAGGTATGGTATGGTAGGGCGGCAACAAGCTTGTTGCAAGGGGTTGTCTAAGGTTCACATTGTGCTCATGCTGAAAGGAAGAATCGGCAAATATCGGCAAACAGACTACCTGGATCTTCCTACTCCTCTTGAACAATCACGGTTTGCGAGAAGAGAATTTACAAGCGTTTGTTAGAATATGGCCTTGGCTGAAAAGAGAGCTTCCGCAATATTATCGCTCATCTACCAGCACCAATTGCCTTGCTGCATTAGTTACGTGCACAACTTGTTTGGAGATCATGTTCTTCTATGAGACCCACCCACTTAAGGATGCTATAGCTGCTAGCACCCGAGCCTGCAAAAGTGACACCGGAATTTGAAGAGTGAAGAACTCTTACAACCCTTGCTCCACACCAATAGGGGCTGGGAGGCAAGTAAACAGTTTTGGCTCCGATACAGCCTCCAAAGCCAAATACGTCAATCACCAAAACACCTACCTACCGATCTACCGAAGGCATCAACAGATCCTCAACCAACAAAGGGTACCTCCCCAAGGCAAACTTTCGTGATAACGAGTACGGTGCCACGGTGTTTTTGGGCGAACCGGTCGGAGAAGACGATCGACTTCGTGCGCGTCACCAAGGCCGGGGGGCTCTGTTCCTTCGATTCACCGCGTCGGCTCCGGCTCCGACCGGCTCCGGCTCCGGCTCCGGCCGCAACGAAGTCGAATGAATGTGAGTGAAGGAGTGAAGGAGTGATAATCATAAGTCTCCGAATCGAAAGAACTAATTCTAAGCATTCAGTGAAAACGTGTGAAAACCGACGGATCATCCCATTGATCGGAATGTCAGTCACCTTGGATGTAGAAGGGATCCCTCGCAAAGCATGGTAGTGAATGAAAACTAATCCGTAAAGGGATCCAAGTACGGTCCCAGAAGGTACTTGAACTAACCGTATACCTAACAGTGTCTCCAAGCACCTTCTTCCGTGCGGTACAACCGGATCCCTGGGTAAGTCATTTCCAGAGCCCTGCTCCACTGCATGGTGGCCTTGATGGATCCGGACTTGTCGGATGTAGCACTTTGGATCCACCCAATGTCTGCTACACCTGTTGAAATGTCTCGTCATCCGCCGAACCCATTTTTATTTTCCGGTAGGGCAAGTTGCTACCATCCAGTGGATGTCCAACAAAAGTCGTTCAACATGTAGATGTTGAAAACACCCAAACCAAACCAATGATACATCATGATACCATTGGTGTAACCCACAGATGTCCAAAGCGCGGCTCATCGTCATCCACATCATACTTCGACCCAAATTCTGGTCCACATCATCCGAGGATCAACATGGATGCCTTCGACAAAATCGTGGCAATGTTGTCCTGGAGTGCCGTGCGAAGCAGTAAGCGAGGAAGTTCGGTACGGGTCCGAGGGGAATGGACGAGGGTCCGGTGGTAGGAGACACAGGATGATAATGTCATAAGGCCATGACTTGGTAGGGATACTCTGATCCCTCTTTCAGGGGCTACTCCATAATGTTATGTATTTCTTTATAGTACAAATGGATCATGCACATTCATAGGAAGCTACTAGTAACAAGTGCATCGCTACTAGAAACAAGTGCCTTACTAGTAGTAACAGGTGCCACGCTAGCAGTAACAAGTGCCACGCTACTAGGAACAAGTGCCTTACTAGTAGTAACAAGAAGCTATTAGCTTATTGTTTCTCATAGCTTTTTGTTACTACTAGTAAGGCACTTGTTCCTAGTAGCGTGGCACTTGTTACTACTAGTAACATTCATGATGATTCAGCTGCTTTCTGTTCGTCCGAAACCGACCCCTCTTCGCCGACCCGTCGGTCGTCCGGAGTGTCGGAGCGGACTCGGACTGACCGGTGGTTTTGGTTCGGACCGTTCGATTGGGTCCCTTTTTTGCAGAGGGCCTGAGAATGCAGGACTGGAACTGGGACTGGGCTTCTTCTTGCCGTGTAGAATAAGAATCCCGCAAAGCATCCCAATGTGGGCATGAACATGATTATATTGTTGTAAGTTTCATTGAAATTCTTCTATATATGTCATTTTTGCGATTCTCCGAAGATGTAATTCAACTTGTTTGTCACAAGTGAGGGCAAAACACTCCAAGCGTGGTACATGTAGTCTTTCTTCGTCAAAAGAACCAGGTTGTATAGGGATGGGATGGGATGGGTATCAACAGATCTCCCAAGTGTTCCGACCTCCTGGAAGGTTCGGAATCGTCTGTCGCGTGGACCGTGTGGACCATCCGTCCGTTGGGTCCGTTCTGCGTCCAAGTCTCATAGCCCTCTTCTCTCAACATGCCGTTCCTGGCGTCACGACGTCAAAAAAAACATCGGTCCGTGGTCAGGTCAGGTAGACCAATGACTTCTTGGAGACGAAAACCGAAAAAACATGTGGGGTCGGTCATCCGGATGACCGGATCCTGGTCATAACAATCCTTCTATAGTCTTGAAATGAACTTAACATATTCATAATAGGACACCACCTGCAAATGCATCCATCATGAAAATATTGGTTCGTCTTTGCACCATCGCTTAACACAAACGCGGACAACATAGTTCAAACGCCTAAGAACTAGAGTGGCCGCAATATGGCGGCAAACGTAAACAACACGACATCCAACATCTATCAAACAAACACAACTGTTCCAACACACAAAAAAATAACCTACTATACTGTCCATACTTTGAGAAAATGAATCTCCAGCAGCTTATCAATAATGTCCTTTCAGCAAATGCACTTTCAAGAGCAAGTCCCTCTTTCAGTATTTTTGCGTCGGACTTTTCTGCCTTTAATGTCACGTCATTCACCCCTGAGGTACCTATTAGAAAAAAAGGATACCGCTTCCCATCCTGCAGGGTCGATAGATCTATGATCTATGGTCCATGGTCTACAATTTAAGGATGGACACCCATAGCAATACTTGGAATAAGGATCCAAACAGAAACAGTCAGGAAGGGACAAATCCTTTAAACGTCTTTCCACGGACTGACCGACCCCTTTCTTTCTTTATATAAGCAAAACACCGACCGCGATGACCCATTGCCGCCCCAAAACGTGACACGCGTTTGAGATGGAACGCAAGCACACACACACACACACCGGCAAAAAAAAGAAAAACAGAAACACGATGCAAACGCATCTTTTACTAAGCCTCATTAAAGCGTATTAAGGCTTGTATCCCCCACTGAAAAAAATAAGCCCAAGATTAGCTCAATCAAGGAGTTTCAGGGAGAGCGCAGAAACATTGCAGGTCGGTGTGTGTGCAAAGACTGCGTGGTTTTAATGTATACTTTGTTTATACTTAAGTACAGTACTTGGTACACCCGGGAGGAAGGGCATGATTGAGATGTCTTCCAACATGCATAAAAACACATGGAAAAAGGCACTGACCATTTGCCCAAAGATATAATTTGTGCACAGGTGCGGTGTCATAGGCAAGCCCCCTTGGAAAATAAGCCTATATTAAGCCTTGATAAGGCCTATCCTTACCTTGCTGGTGTCCTTGAGAGCTGAGGTGTCCTTACCTTGCTCAAAAAAATGAATGCGCCAAGTATTGCAAAACGATGCAGAAACCATGGACTTAGCCAAAGCCTCGACCAGCATCTTCATCCATGTTGATTTTCCAAAAACATGTGGCAAACCTGGCCAATCCTTACGAACTCTTTTTGATCTTTTTTGGTCCAAAGTCACACGAGAATATCGACAATGAAGTGACAACTGAACACAAAAAACACACACACACAGAAAGGGAGCGGAGGGGGGGGGTTTTGTTTTGCGTCCGACTGTTGTGGGTCGTAGAGCTCCATACGGCGGTCCTGGCCGAGAGCTCCATACGCTGTGCCATCTGCACGGTGGCTGGATCGGGAGACTTGGAGGCCACGTACTTGGACATTCGCTCCACCATCCTGGGAGTGTCGAGGGGTGGACCGGGGTGGAGAGATGTGGACAAAGAACAAAGTGCCTGGCCCCACAAAATGAAGAAGACATCAAGGTATATCAAGACCAAAGCATGCATATATATTATATATAAATTATCCATATATGTACTATTATTTAATGCAGGCAACAAACACATGCATCTCAATGTGACGGGAATTGACAGCGGGTATGTTTTTGTTCACACATGCACCAGCTGGACCAGCCAGTTGCAAGGGACATATGGAAAGGACATGTCATCTGGCTAAATCTTGGTTGTAAACAAAAGGAACCAAATCCCAAACACTCCATGTATTCCATATTTGCCGATCAGTTGGGGTGGTTTGGGGGGGGTCGATGGGGCGGCATATATGGCAGTCCCATGGAGTGTCTGGGAACAAGACAGACATGAAATCATGATTCATTCATGATCGATCAGCTGGGCCTTGAAGAGATACAAAAAAAACATATTGTATATATACGTCTCCCAAAATGTTTTGGGCGCAAGTAGCTGATGGCTCTGTGAACTTGGTAAAACCATGTAAAACCAAGTTCAGGACTGTTTAAAACCATGTAAAGCCATGTAACACCTCTTAAGACTTGTGTGGTTTCCAGGACTGGAGCCATCAGAATCTGTTGTCCAGCATTGGCACCATCGACGTCGTGTTATTGAAATACTTGCCCCCTCATGTTGGACAAAGACATGTAACCTCATGTAACCGGGATACGGAGGCTACTGCCCCAAAAGCTTCCACAGTGAGACGTTCGATCTTCTCGCCCCAGAAACCGCCTGAACCCCCCGGCAGGTGTTCGAGCTTCGACGAAGAGCATTCGACCACCCCCCCACGGACCCTAACGGACGTCCAAAGGGGTCCCTTAAAGGGGTTCTGCAGGGTGACATGATAACATGTACAAAACTAGAAAGTGGTGGACCTGCCCTGCTTCAAGAATTCCCGGTGTAGTACACGCTGTCACCAAACAAAGTGCTGCAAAATCACCCCAGGTGCCGTCACATCTCCTTCCCTTTTCTATCCTTTTCCACTCTCCTGTTCGTATCCCAGGTGCTTGTGGATGCGCTCCGACGTCTCTTCAGGAGTCTCTCCCGCTCCGTGCGTCGCCACCGCATCGGCCGTGCTTTGGGACGGCACGTAAGACAAGCCCGACCCCGAGAAGCTGTCGGCGTAGCTGGGCGATCCCGCCAAGTCAGGAAAGGCCGAAGCCCCCGACAAGCCGTGAGCGAAGGTGGACCCCGAGAAGCTCTCGGGGAAGGTGGGTGCCCCTGACAAGCTGTCGAAGGTGGATGAATCGAAGGAGGATCCGGACACTCCAGGCACCTTGGATTGTGGAAGAATATCAAGAAAAAAACAACACTTTGGGCTTTTCATTGGTTCTTTGAACATGTTGATAGGCTCTTTCTCACGGTTTTCCAGGTCTTGGATACTACGGGGGGACCAACCTTTCGAAGAACCAGGAACACGGGGAACAACCCAAGCAACATTCTGTGCATATCACCCATGAGAAATACATGGGATATGGCCATCCCTAGGGATCCAAGTACCTTCTCAGGTACGGTGAGGACGGAGACTATTTAAGTAGGCTTTGAAGGCCCAGTCGTACCGAACCTGAGGAGGTGGTAGTGGATCCCTAGGGCATGGCAATGTGCAAAACCGTTTTGTTTGCGAAAAAAATTCACGCCCAGGCACATGCACCACAGTTGGCGTGTGCACCCAAGAGGGCGTGTGCTCCACGTGATAGACGTGGTGCACCACGGTGCTTCCGGGCTCTCCCCAGCCCTCCGCGGGCGCCAGCGGCGCCAGGAAGTCTTGACTGCGCGGAGGAGTCACGTGGCCGGGCGGTTTGGGCGCGACTGACAGTATGATGTGGGTGTGGGTCTAACCGAAACAAGGATACCCCTGTGCAAGTGTGGTTTGTACACTTCAAAATGAAACAACTCAAAAACACTTAACATCACTAAACAAAAACATGGAAGGTTGATCTCTCTGGGCAGTTCATTGATTTTCACAGATCTTCCGAAGAAGATTGTCCACTCTGGTCGGACTCCCCAATCCCCGCCCAGCTGAATCGGATCTAACACAAAAGCTGTCGATATGTCCTTTGAAGTTGTGCGTGGCACGTCGTCGAAAAGGATCACTTCATTTCTTTCGCGTTTCTTTCAAGAACAACACTCGATGGACCATGGAAAGAAGGGCAAAGAGTTGCAGATGAAACAAATTGCATCAAATTGCCCAATGGTAGCCATGGGTTTCGCTGCGCTAACGATAGCGGGTCCCAAAACATAGTCAAAACTGCTAACAACCTGGGCAAACTACGGGTGCAAACTGGTCATTGGTCCAAAATCGGACTAATTCGATGTCATCCTAACCCCACCAAGGTCCCAAGCACTATGTGGGATTGTATTTAAACTTCCGTTAAAAACTACCCATTCTTTTGAAGCGAACCACCCGTCAACCAACACTGAGTGTTGGCCTGTCAACCAGACGGACGGTCAGCACCAGCGCAACGGCCTCCCGGGAAAGGTAGCAAGAATAACGATCGTCATGAACTGGATCTAGGGTTCCAACTACCTCCTGAGAAGGTGGTTGGGGTGGGCTTGGGTGAGCATACACTTGCGCGGACCCTGCTTAGCTAAGCTTGGCTAAGCCTAGCTTTGACTTATAAGAGTTAGTAAGTCTTAGCTAGGACTTAGCTAAGTCCGAGCCAAGTCGGACTTAGGCATGCGACTTAGCTCGACTTAGCTTTGACTTAGCTGTGACTTAGCTCGGACTTAGCTAACTTAGCTAAGTCTAAGTCGGCTAAGTCGGCTAAGTCTACGTTGGCTAAGTCGACTAGGTGATAGGTTGGCTAAGTACGATCGAAGAACAACCGAGCAGCAAGTAATGCGAAAAGCAAACAACTAGAAATGACAGCGGCCAGGCCGCGTAGCGACAGGTCATTTTTCGCGGCACTTGAAAATACAGTTTACAGTCAGACAGTCAGTGTCAGACTATTTTCTGACAGCCTTTTCCTTGCTATGATCTTGCTTGGTTGCCGCAATCTCAACTCTTGGTACTTTTCCTTGAGGATTGGCAGCAGTATGTGGCTCGAGGTGTTTTTCACCGGCTTGATTTTGCGGGAATTTCCAGTTTGGACTATTGTGCTACTTTCCAAGGCATTGAGAATCTCTCGGTGTCGCAGCGGGAACTCCTTTCGACCATTCGTGATGGGACCTTTTTCCTTCACACCTTCAAGGCAAGATTTGACCCTGGCTTTTCTGAGCTCTGCCCGTTTTGTTCACGGTCATTGGACACCATGCAACACCGTGCTTGTGAGTGCTCGCACTTTCAATCCGTCAGGGAGCGACATGTTGACAGCTGGACTATGTGTGGTCAGATGTACCTGTGGCGTTGTCTCATCACGGTTGGACTCCTGCCAATGAATGGATTCCTAGATTTCATGATGAGCTTGAGCGCTTGAATGCTGTTCCTGTGACTTGGCAATGTGAACCGAATGGACGTGGTGTACAGCACATCTTCACCGATGGCTCATGTCAGTTGCCCAGTCATCCCATTGGTCAGCTTTCATCGTGGGCATGCGAGCTTGCTAATACCACTCAGATTGTTGCTGGTGGTCTTCAACCTGGGCGCTGGCAGGGAATAGCAAGGGCTGAGCTTTATGCTGTGCTGCAATCGCTTTTATGGGCTGCTTTTCATGTGGTGCCAATTCATATCTATAGCGATTCTGCATTTGTCGTCAGTTGCCTTGAGCGACTACTTGCAGGGCATATGGTCTCTTGGAGTTGGGCTCATGCTGATCTTTGGGAACGGGTTGCCCAATGTTTGCCACAGGCGCCTTGGACACAAGTGACTAAGGTGACTTCGCACTTGAACATAGCACATGCTGGTTCTTCTTTTGAAGCTTGGTGCATTCATCATAACTCAGTGGTTGATCTGGCTGCGGCTGCTGCTCGTTTGACTGCACTACCAAGCTCCTTGCGGACAGCTTATGATGCTATGATGGCGACGCATGACGTGCATTGCCGTTTGAGTCGACAGTTCCAACTCTTCTTGCTGGACCTTGCGGAGCATGGCCTTGCTGCTGAGATGAGTGCGCAACCTGAGCCGTGTACAGAAAGTTTCGTTTTTAGCACCTCATTGGTCAACGACCAGGGCTTTGTAGAGGATCAGCCTCTTGATGTCCGGTCAGCTTTGCAGAAGAATTTGTATTTGCAGCGCTTTGGTCTTCGGTTTGCGGAGGCGCTGCAGTCTTGGTTAGTTTCCTTGAGCCTGCAGGCTGAGTGTCTTACTCCGGTGTCCTTTGTTGAGATTTTCCTTGGTTTCTCTATATGCACTAAGGTTTCGTTGCCTGTTTGTGTTGATAGTTCTTCTCAACAATGGATGGTTGTTGCAGGTCTTGAGGCTGGAGATCTTTTTGGTAGGACTCTTGCTGCTCAGGTTTCTACTTTCAGACTTTTGTTTGGTGCTGTTTTGCAGGCGGCTGATTGTTCGTTTAAGAGTGTTCGGGTCTCCAGACCAACCAGCGGGATCCTAATGGCCTTACCGGGCTGTATAGTGCCATGGCCGGTGATGGTGGCGGACAGGGTGCACTTGTCCTTGCTGGCCTTTTGTCGTAGATCCCCACTGAGATTTTCTCGTCCGACCTCGCCCGCTCATGGCCTTGATGAAGGCATGTGGAGGCCTTACTTGCTGTGCGACATCGCTAAGCTGTGTCCACAGTCGCGGCGCCACGTCCGCAAGAGAGTGATAAAGTAGTCTACGGTCAGAAAGTGTCAGAATTTTTTCTGACAGCCTTTTCCTTTTAAAGTAGTCTACGGTCACAGAATTTTTTCTGACAACATTTTCCTTTTAAAGTAGTCTACGGCCAAACTTAGCCGACTTAGCCGACTTAGCGGACTTAGCCGACTTAGCTTAGCTTCGACTTACCTTTGACTTAGCTTCGACTTAACCGACTTAGCCAACGGCCCTAAGTCGAAGCTAACTCTTCTAAGTTGGCTAGGCCCCGGCCTAAGTGCTTAGTAACCTTTATACCTCTTACTAAGAAGTCAAAGCTAAGTCAGCTACGTGACTTACATAAGATATGGGACTTATAACCTATAGGTTATAACCAGGTTGGGGTAGGTTATAACCTAGGTTATAAGTCAAAGTTAGAGCAGGTCCGCGCAAGTATGGTTGGAGCCCTATAGGGTACACTCCCTAGACCGTCGTCATAGAAGTGGCTGGCATCGCCCGATTTCGGAAGACCATGTTCAATCCAATACCAAACAGTTGTTTTCACTCCACGTAACCATGATGTTAGTTCCAGGGAGAGTATCAGGGCACAATTCTTGACCCCGCCCCATGGCCAATCAGCCTTCCTGGGACAAGGACCCCTGGTGAGTTCTTGCATGGCAAACAGGTTTTACATACCAACCATGATCACAATAAGACAACCTCGAAGCAGGTTTATGCTGCACGCTGATGTTGCGTTTTTTACTTCAAGAACATGTTTGTTTGTGTGTGTGGATCCTTGTGTGATTTTGACTAAACCAGTTCAATAAATATGTGTTCACAAAGACTCAGATCTTCAACAAATGTCACAAACACATCAAAACCGCTGCGATTGCAAAGGGAGTGGTCAAAAATAGTGGCGGACATCATCCAGTGAGTTCAACATGGGCACTAACCGACATGCACCCCGCCATAGAACCCGATTCGTCCCGAACGGGCGCTCGATTCGTCCGTTCAACGTTACGGTCTCAGCCGCCTGGCGCAGGAAGTTCATCTTTGTGAAGTCACGCAAGGCTGTGGCCCGCAACGATTTGGAGCCGGCTGGGGTGGCAGCGGCGTGTGTGACGGGCTCGACGGTGCACGGAAAGAAGCGAACGTTGGCCACAGCGGTGATCCAACCCGCTGGTCCCAAACACGACCGATGGGACTGGCATATCTAGACATATGGGGGGTTGAAAGGGGGTCAATAGGTATATGCCAGTCCCATTAGCTGTGTCTGGGCGATATGTTGATCAGCTTCCACGGAACTCTTCACATCGTCATGTTCGGTCGATCTTCACATGCATGTCTTCACCGAGCCAGCACATCCGCTGGAATCTGGAGGATTTCAGGATCCTGCACTTCTTTCAAGAACAATGAGTACGGGCCAGTATGGGTGACAAAAAACAGACACTCCATGTATGCCATATATGCCTACATTGACCCTCAAAACCACCCCTGGCCTGATCGGCAGTCCTATGGCAGTCCCATTAGTCGTGTCTGGAGGTCTAGTCTCTCGCCCCAAACGCCACACTTCCCGACGTTGACCTCCTGAGATCTCGCTGTCTCCCCAACACACGTTGGCCAAAGGGTCGGTGATAGTGAAGCTGCAGAAGTATGGTGTTCTACTATGTTATTTTGATGGTTGCATTCTCCAAGCACGACCCATGATATGGGACTTATATCCCTCAAAGTCAATGACCTCGTTAAACTTGTTCATATAGAATTGGAGACAATGACCACTATTTACTTTATTTGAACCCAGTTTTACTTGGTCCCACTAAAGTTCCGTTAAAACCAAAAATTGTGTTCATGATCTCTTCAGGTGGTTTGGAAGGAAATCAAAGGCAATTTTCAAAGTTTAACTTGCACTTTGGACTTGCAGGGTATATATGATATTGCCTTATCATCTCTGAAACCAGACCCAACTGATCGGCAATGCCAGTCGTCCCATGGAGTAGTTCTGTGGAATCCAGTCTGCAATCTTGCCAGCTGATTAGAATTCGCAGTTCGGGCTGTTTCAACCGCAGGAAACACTCTCATCGATTTCATGGTCGTTACACCCAGACATCGTAGCTTTCACTGGTGGTTTGTAGGTTGGCAAGATGACAAGCATGACACGGATGTTCCCCAGACCTAAAAGTAACGCTTCGGTTGTATAGCGGTGAGAACAAAACATCATTCCATTCATCTCTTGGACATGAAATCTAACCAGCTTACAGTAAATCATGACAGTTGATTTAAAGAAACAACAAAACATATCCGCAGAACAACATACTGTGGATCTGCTAGTTGGGTCTGGACCTTTCTCAGTCCCCGGACGCAAAGGGAGGCCGCACTGGTCCCCTGAGACAGGAGATTCCGTACATCACCGTGGTTTCAAGGTCCACATCACTCGCCCTTGCTATTTCTGTGGCAAGAACACTGGATATGGGTTATGCAAAATTGAGAAGATTCGAACAAATAGTCTGCCAGCCATGTTAAATAGGTAAGCAGGGGGTGGTCTTAAGTTCAGTGACATTGATCAACGTATGTCAGAAAGTTTGCTCAGTTGGATCGAAGCTGCGATGATTGCTGTGCGTGCATCAACTATCGTATTATGGAATAATGGTCCTTTCTATGAGTTTTCCTCAACAGGTAATCAACAAAGATCGTCTGGACCCATATAAAAGTGGTACCGTGTTGCATCTTTGTGGTTCTTCCCCGCGATGTTCCGCACCGGTTCTTACCCGCCTGACCGTCCCTCGCGCGGGTCCGGGGAGGTCCGTGGTTTGCCGGACCTCGCGCCCTCGTCCGAGAGGAGCGCCGACTCCTCGGCGATGCCTCCGAAGATCACGAGCTCCTGCGATCGGTGCCGGTCGGAGCTCCGGTCGTTCAGGGTCGGACCTTCGAACGGAAGGAGTTGTTCCGGGGGAGGACCAGATCCGTACCAGTCGTAGCTCCTTCGGAAGGTGCCGCTTAGCCCAGTCCCAGCTTCTTAGAAAACGGCTAAAACTGACACAAACTCAAAACACAACGACGTTTTGGTAGGAAGAACAGGATTGGCTGAAATTGTGTAACTGGTTTGCCGGAGCTTTCAGAATCAAAGATCCCTGGAAGAGGGGTCTTGGAATGGTCTTGGACCCTTGGACGAATCTCTTCCAATGTAGAGCTGAGGTGAACACCTCGAGGGGTACACCCGGGAAAATTCACATGCAACCTGAAAATGGACCTTTAAGACGATGTTCGGGTGCATCTAACCCCACATCTGGGCGATGCTGAAACAGCATCTTCCGTCGCACCAGCACCGGGACGACTTCGGCGTCGTCGCTACGAATCGCACCGTCCAACGAGGTTCGGAGGCGATGCCGCCGAACACCGGAGGTCCGAAGGTTTGGTGGGACAAGCAGGACGAGTTAAGCCCAAGCAGTCGTTCCACCAAGTGGCAGTCGTGTGGGTGTTCATGTCCACCAAAACAGTCCGACGACCGTCGACGCTTGATTCAAAGCAGTCTCACTGGAGGAGAACAAACAGGTGAATATCCATGGAATATTCCTACCCGACAAGTCCAGTCTGACCCAGTAAAACCTGGTCTTTGCACCTCCAAACGAGTAGTGTTCTTGTATGACCAACTCCAGTAACATGAGGTCATTGACCGGCAGGGTTATGAGTGGCACCACAGTGAATTTCTGCTGGGGTCTCCAACCTTTGAGCCCAACCAGCCCACGGGAGCAGTTCTCCCGTAACGCCGTGTCGACCGGAACCGGTTCGCCCTTCCGCACCGTGTCGTAGCCCTCCATGGTGTGACCCCAACGTGCGGTGGGTGCGGAACCTGCCAGGTCGGGTGCGGAACCTCCGCTGGTCCCAACGGTCTGCAGGAGGGTCAAACGGCGAGTCAAACTAACGGTCTGAAACGATTGGAATGGCGTCTGAGCCGGGTACGGGCCCCGACAGCGTGAAAGTTCAAGAGTCCTTTGATGGAGAAAGAGTAGCACAACACCCTGGTCCAGGAACACCAGTTCTCAGAAAAAAAGAAGAACTAACAACTTGTCAGCTCCTAAATGACCTTCTGACCTTCTGCTCAATTGCTCACAAACAAGACATTCAACGAATTGGGAACCAAACCCACACCGAGATCAGAATGATCTTCAAAGCAGTTCTCACATTTTCTCACTGGCCGCTAACATAATACAGAAGCTCCTCTGCATGGAGCGAGGCCAAACCAAGATCGCTCCAAAAGTATATCCGTGTGATCCACTCGGTACATTTGCTTCGTCAGTGTTGAAACAGAATTCCGTGTCAATGCGGATGCTAGCCCATTTGCGTTGCCAATTTTCCTCGCATTTGGCTGCCAGAATACGAACGGTGAAGAGCCATTCTGTACTGAGATATTGCATTCTAACCACTATAGATAAAGAGAGACCCAATTCATGCCACTTCAGCCGTTTCGCCTGCGTGGTGTTACTCGACTCGAATCCTGAACACCAATTCGACAAAGCGACTCCCAACCTTTTTCCCGCAGACCTGTCTGGGACTCCACGTTGAGACGCTTCAAAATTCATCCCAAACTGGGCCGCTTCCCAACTTCCACACTTTGGCACGGGTCGCGTTCCGAACTTCCGCACCCAGCCCTGGGCCCAACTGGCCCAAGAGGCATTGTTTGTACACACCCTGGGAGGTCTTGCACTATACATGTGGGTTTCCAGAAGCTTTTGACAACGAGGAAGGCATGCAAAACAAACTGAGCTCATGTGAACCTCAGATCAATGATGGCTGAAATAGATTGACATAGTCAATAGTCTATCGAAGAATATGCACTTGGAGCTCCTGCCATATGTACTTTGATGTTCTGTCAAACCTACCTGTGCATCTTCTTGGGGCCCACGGCAACACCTCCCATGTTCCAAACCTTCTGGCAATCAACTACTCACTTGTCCAAAGGGGCTAAGCCTGGAAGTGAGCTGATTGTTGGTCTTGGTGTTGAAGTGTTGAGAAAACAAAACAACCCATTCAAAACCATTCAAAACCGCCAAAACTTTTATTTTTCCAGGCTGCCTTTGGTGTCTTCCAAGTGCGTCCTCAGCTAAGCGGTTCAGAGCTGCATCCCGCGCTTCCTGCGAGGTCGCCAGACCTGGCATCGTGAGGAACCGAGTGTTGCACTTCGGGTCCACAGTCTGGACGATCTTGGGACCGCAGCAAACTGAGCAACAGGGACATCCCTGTTACCTGCTTTAGGTCCAGGTTTTTTTGGAGTATAAGGATGCTGTCTTTCTATAGGGAGACACCCTGGCCCAATGGGTAGACTGCATGGTTTTAATGTCCTTCTTCCAGGGGGGTCCTTGCCTTCCAGGTCATAAACACACCCACCCATGGGTCTGGGATAGGTCTGGAAAACCCCAAGACCATGCCCTAGGGATCCAAGGTACTTGGACCCTCCAAACCTACATAACAGTTCACCCAAAGCCATAACAGCCCTGACTGCCCTGACCGCTACCTATTGAAACTCGTGGACCGTTTTGACACACACACACAACCCAAATAACGCGTGCAGTCATAGCTATGATCTGAACGGGGGGTTCCGGTGCGTGGAACGAACCTCTCTGTAGTTCTGAACGGCTTCTCATGTCCAGAAAAAGTTCCGGCCTTGGCCTCCCCCTTGTTGCACGACTGTTCCATACATCTCATTAGTGTTGACCAGTTTCGCGACCATGACTTCAAGTCGCCAGCTGGCAAGCTTGTGTCTGCACTCATTGATTGCGTTATTCGCTCGCCAACCCTACATACATCTGCTGACTTGAACCCGGAAGGCACGTCTGACTGTCAGAGCTGAACTTGAACACATTTTCTTCACTCAAATAGATCATTAAAAAACCCTTGACTGATGGTCCCCTACAGAATTTGAAAACCAAAATCAAGTCATCAACAACCTGTATGTGATAGTCGAACTCTTGGCCTTCGAGGCCAAACAGCCGCAGCCAAACGACGGGTCAAGCGCCTTATGGACTCACTCGATGAGGCCTGCATTCACCGAGTGCGCCGGCGACAAGGGACCCAATCCACAGAAATCTCGCAGGCATTTTCCAACCGTCAGAAGAGGTTCTTGGGGAAGTGGATCTTGGAGTGGATTTGGGAGGTGTGCTGGGAGGACAGCTGATAAGCAAACAAAAAAAAAGTCTGTGATTCTAGGCCAAGTGAAGCTGGATCACTTGAATGGTAAACATATATGTAGCTGTTCCTGTTCCATACTGAGTTTTTCACTATAACGGTGTCTCCATGTTTCACTATAACGAAGCAGGAGACCTATCAACATTGGATCAACATTGGAACCCACCCCTCCAATGCTGAGCCTTCCTTCCAACTGAACAGCTCTGGAGGTGTCAAGCAAAAAGCTTTAACAATTCACAACTCTTATAGGTGCTTATAGGTGCTTTGTGATACACATCGAAGCAAGCTTCGCTTCGACGGTTGGCGGCCCTTCCCTCCCGCCAGAGGTCTCAGCAATGGCATCCATCTGAGCGGCCAAAGCAAAGTCCTGCAGGACTCCATCGGACGCGCGTCACAAACGAGTCTGATACATCCATGAATCCGGCTGGACTACTGAATCCATCTCGCCAGGTTCCACTCGGTCGCCCGTCACTGGAAAAAAGAACGCAGCCGGACGGATGAGTATCTCCATGAGTAAGTATATCACCATTGAGAGATATACTCAAGGGTGTGATTTTGTCTGATCGCAGTTGATCAAGTACTATCGCCTGTATCACCCAAGTTCAGAATCGAGTGTGTTATATATATATATAATTCTTTTGTGATCTTGAAATGTCTTGGGTCATTTAGTCCTTTGAAATTAAAGCTGAAGATGCTGAATGGCATTACAGTATCACAATGGAATGTTCCGAAGGGGAAAACTTTCCACAGTTGCTGTCTACTAGCATCTACTAGCAATCGTTGGATCCGCTGTTTCGAAACACCAATCATCAGGTTGACGCTCTGCCGCCTAAGAAAGCATTGCACCCCATGGGCACCTCAAAGCAATGGGCAAGGTCAGTTTCTCGTTGTTCGGTCTTTGGACACCTGGCAGCCTTCTCTTACGGGCACGGTGCAGACGTGCACACGATTGACGTAGTTTCTTCATAGTATAATTTACGATTGACGTGCACATGAGTGAACCCCATAATGTGGATCCGAGTTTCAGTTTGGAGACCGTGTGTGAGGACAGTTCTTCATACCGACCCATCAAGGGTCCACAAAACCTGTCCAATCGACTCCGGTCCACTCGACCACTCTCCCGAGGGCTGGGAGCTCCGGGAGCTCGTCCTTCTCGGTGAGCCCCGGGGCGTCGTGCGTCCACAGCGTCACGTCGACCGTGGAGTACCTCGGAACGCCGCCCGGAGTACCCGCGCTCGGCCGGCGGGTTGGGTTTGGGCATGTTTGGGCAGAACGTGCCTCGTGGAGGTCGGGATTGGACGGTTTTTCGGGGTGGGTTTGGGGAGGGGTTGTTTGGGGGACTCACCATGACTCTTTGAACACGTGGCACTTATTGTTGGGTGAAGTCTTTTCTGTACTTAGTTGCAGGGTCACAATGTCTTGAGCAATTCCCCAAAATAAAGCACTTCTTACCATGACTGCTGTTAGTTATATTCGAGGCTTCCGCTTCTTACGATGGGGGATGTTCTTGTGGCATGTGGGTCACAAGCTCCGCAGCCCGTGTTTCTTCGGGAGAGTTGCTTTTCAGTACGTTACCAACTTCAAGCTGCTTTTCGGGTTTTGGTGCCCCGCCAAACAGTCTTCAACCATGGTCAAAACCACCACTCTCAAATATATATATATATATATGATATTCTTTGGTCATCTGGTCCTAGTCCTTTACACCCTCTAGATCTCAACCGGTGGATCCGCCCCCAAACGATGCATGCTTGACATTGCGCCGCGCTGCACGTTGCTCCAGTTCGGATGGTGATCCGCCTGTCCACGCATCGCCGGAATGCTCCAACCAGGCAGGGTCTTGGGGTGACCTGGACCTCACTTGTTCTCTTTTCTTCAAAACCTTGTCAAAGCGTTCAGAGTATATAGATAATGCCAGTCAGCACGATTGGTTGTAGAGATCTCTATCCACGAATGGCGGAGTCTAGGTTGCCTATTAGGATCCTATAGGGTATTTTGCCCTCCATATACTGTGAAACCGTGTTAGTGTTAATTCTACCTGCACAGTCAAAGCCTAACTTGACTTCTTCAGCCCTTAGTTCACTCGTCATGACTCAAATTCTCCGGCCATGTTCCATAATTAGTAGTCAGCTGCTCTTCAGACATGTGGCCTAAGACACAAGCAGCAGTTGGGGTCATGTTTCTGTGTTTTAGTACTCTGACCCCAACTGCTGCTCTGACCCTTTGACCCTTGTTCTCCTGTGACCCTTTGACCCCGACCGACCTTCTCCGCGCACAGCGCCACCCGCGACATAAAGCCTGGTTTTTGTTCCGAGAAAACAGCGATGCCAAGGACGTCATCATAAACCCAAGTGCCAAGAAGGACACCGGCAACAACTTTTTCCGATGTTTCCGATAAGGAAAAGCTCAACAAGGTGTTTTTGTTGGGGGAAAAGCCATGGTGGTGAACTGGGGGTATTTGACACAGGAGTCTTCCGTGCACAACTCAACACCACGCAGTAGGAGATCCATGTCATGCAGCTTTGATGGGACTGGGGATGCGAAGCGAATGGATGATGAAGTTGGAGAGTCCCTTTGATTCCGAGGCGGAGGAACAAACAACTTTGAGCAAACAACCAACGCTAAGGTCAGGAGGGTTCAAGCATTGTTGCAACAAGCGCCTAAGCCGAGCGATCGAATCCTCTTCCAACCCACGGGCCCACGGCGTCTCAACCCGCGGGTTTTCCCCCAAGGACGTTTTAGGGAACATGTTTGTCAGGTCTTTCGTTCGACATCGTTGCTTACTACGCTGACTACCTCGTCGGGGCACCCCAAGCTGCACCGAAGTCTTTGAACTGAAAGCTTCGCTGCAGCTGCAAACCTGCCGAACCGGTTCGAGGGCCCAGGTCCAGAAGCTTCAGCTGCCGAACCGGATCCCAGTGGTCCAAAGCTGGAATCAACCAGCCGTCAGTGCTTGGAGGTACAACAAACTTCTTATATAGTTGGTGAGGGATCATGTTCCAAAATGAATGCAAAGAAGCCGTGCCTTGAGGCTCGGCTTCAGCCAAAAGCCTGCCGGAGCGATCGGCTTCAGCGAATCAAGTTGCTCAGAGTCTGATGATAACTCCAAAGGCTTTGGCTCACAGTCTTACCACGACTGTCAATCATTGACCTCCCAGAACCCCGGCAAGCCCATATGTTTTTTTTCCCGGGTCATTGAACAATGCTTTCCAAGAGAATCGATCCGTGACATACATATAATCTCGGGTCGCGTTTCAAGGCTATAATCTCGAAGTACTTTGTAGGGGAACTCATGCAGGTCGCAAGTCATAGGTGCGCCCCGAGCAAAAGGACCCTCTGCAACAAGAGGGCACACTATCTCGTTGTGCCTTGGAAGAGAGAGAGAGAGAGAGAGAGAAAAAGAGAGAGAGAGAGAGAGAGAGAGACCCTCAACATATGATATATGGATTCTACTAGCTTCTAGATTCTACATGGTTCTACATCATTTATTCTTCCTAGGGTTCCCCACACTCTTTTTGGGGTTCCCTGTCAATCCATTCTGAGACACACCCATATACTCTTTCGAACATCCAAGTGCCTCCACTTCTGCGAGAGCTTGGCACACTGGCGCTGAGCCTGCCGACCACAGCGACAGCCCCGACCCGCCCAGACCCGCCCAGGTGGATGCCTGGGAGCGCGTCCCAGGTGTCCTAAGGCCCTTTGGCAACGAATGAATGACCGCACCAGTCACCAGTCTGTGCTTTTAGCCACCAAGAAGGCTGGTTCATGGATCTTCCAGCAAAAGCTGTCTATGTCTATAAGTCTCTACCTCAATGGTTCCATTTGGGTGTGTATCCGTTTGGACATTCCAGGGCCGGGAGGTCCTGACTAAATAGGGTATGGCTTTCTCTGGGACTCCGTCAGGGCATGCTTCGGGGGGTATGCTCTGCCTAAATCATCTACATCATTTTTGCAGGTTGACTACATGTGTGTTTATGTTTATTAGTTTTAAAAACACACACTCACACATTGTTACATATTAATATGTTAGAATACTAGTTGACCTCCTATGTCAACATTGGCTTGGTCAACGATGGACCTGCCCACCGTCGCTGTAATAAGCTCATGCACAACTGAGATATGAAATGATCGTAAGAATCGAAATTCCAATCACCATACAAAGATTCAAAGAACATAAACACGTGTTCTATTGAGATCAAACACATGTTCTATTGACATCCCAATAATTATATAGAAAATACCAGGACCCTCCTGTCGGGGTGTCTATATTTATAGCCCCTTAGCTGTTGAGGAGTGTCCATGAACCACCCCGACTGGGGGTCCTGGTGCACTTCCTCCGGCTCCCGAGCCCCGCCCATGCGCGGCCGCCTTCGGTGTCCGGAAGTGGAGCACAAGAGGGACCAGCGTCCATCTAAATCCCAGACCATGCATGGGACTGGCATATTGACCGCCCCTCTGTTGGGGTGGTTTTTCACTGGTTCGCATCTATGCCAGTGTTGGAGGCCATCCACGCTATAACCCTTCGGAAAATCTAAGATCATCACGAGTAGAGTCATCCAACCTTACCTTGCCCAGCAACCCCCCCACATCCACCATAGACCCCATATGATTACGTATAAAATGACCTGACACGGGGGAAACGAGAGCTGTGCCAGGAACAAGTACTACCTGCATGTGTATAGGAAATTGACTTTCACTTGCTAAAACCGTGAACAAATAAGTCTGAGTAGAATGTCACCCAAACATTCAATACACATAAACTAAATAGTGTCGTTGGAGTAGGTTGCTGATGCAAATGATGCCCTATCCATGCCACTTGCGTTTTCTGCATCACCACCTGACCAAATCATATCCTTGGCTATATAATCTACAAACACACTCAACACATCTCAAAACCCATTTGGGAGGGGGGTCCAACCACTTCAGTGCCTCCTTCTGGCTCATCGCCCGCGCGCCAGCTGCGACCAGCGTCCTTCGCAGCGCCATGGCGACGGTGAAGCGGGGTGAAGAGAAAAGCGATTGAAGCAATGAAAGGATTGCAAGTCTCAGCGATTGCCAGTCTCTGCTCGATTTTCAAAAAAATGCCGCTTGCATTGAAGAACTGCCACTTTGGGTCAAGTTCAAGGATTCGTCTCGTCCAGTTCCTTGATGCTCGATGTCCTAAACCGTTTGGCTTTCCATCGCAGCCTAGTCATCACCATGAGCCCAAATGGAGCTTCGGAAGGAAAGGATCGCCACCGTTCCTAAATCAAACCGAGACGGGTTTCTCTGATGTTCCATATGTTTCTACAATGTTCTACACATCCCAAGAAAATTGGAAGACCATGCGTCATCCCTCTTGGAACATGCGTCATCTCCAAGGTGTCATTTTGCTATTCATTGCCCAACAAAAACGTGCTTGTGGTTTCGTAAAGGGAACACTCCAAACGGAGAACTCACGCAAAAAAAGGCCAGGTAAACATGTCTTCAACCTTGATCTTACGTCCACAATTACAGTGGTTTCAGAGTAGACAGCACATTCCCCAAGTATGGACACCAAATCAACAACGTGTTGGGGTGCCAGTGCCATTGAATCAGAATCAACTGCCAAGCACCAGCTGTAATTCATTCCCACTCACCAGCGAACGAAACAAACGAGAAGCCCATCAAAGAAAAGTGGGCAAACACATGCAAACACGCTCTCATCTTCACAGCAGATCATGTTACTGGTGTTCTTCCTATTAAGGGTGTAAGGATTTCCAGATCACAAAATTCTTGGGGATACAAAATTCCAGCTGTTGAGGTTTGACAGGGTTCCAAGGGGGAAGGAACACATTTCACCAGAAAGCCATTGGGCCATTGGAAGTTACTGTAAGAAGCACATGCCCAAGTTCATCAGAATCGAGGTCTTGGGCAAAACCAGGGGGAGAGATCTGATGCTCCCAATAAATTGGATTTCAAACCACCTCTACTACTATTCAAAAGTATCTACATCATGCATCAAGAACATGTTACATCCTTCACTTTTCCATTGTACAAATAACTTGATCGTCCTTTGAAAACTGTGAAAAAAGGACGAACAAAACAAAAACAACACGTCCCGGCCGCAGCTCTAACCGCTACTCGGGCACCTTCACATTGGAGCTCGGTCCACTTCATCTGCTCGATCTCCAAGAGATGAAGATCTCCATAGGCCTCTCCAGGTGATCTTCACTCGTCTTTCTGCAGCAGTGGTGGCCGTTTTAGGGGGGGTGTTGTGTTGGTGGTGCGCATAAACCAACAAACATGATGCAAAACAGCCGTCTCACCATTAACTAAGGATTGCTTTTGTTGGCGCACCAAAGTGAGCAACACTGATCATTTGTGCAAATCCAACACTCTTGTTTTTCAATGGTTGTACAATATATTTGGGAATAGTTTTTTCTTTATGCTAACGGTTCTTTTTTTTATGCTGGATTTGGGTGGGTTCTTTTTTTTATGCTAACGGTCTTTATTTTTATGCTGAGGGTTTTTATTTTTATGCTGAGGGTTTTTATTTTTATGCTGAGGGTTTTTATTTTTATGCTAACGAATGTAATTGTCGCGGGGCTTTATTGGAAAATGTAATTGTCGCGGGGCTCTAGTGGAGAATGTAATTGTCGCGGGGCTTAGTGAAGAATGTAATTGTCGCGGGGCTTTATTGGAAGGGCGGCGGCTCATCTGCGCACACACATTTTGTTAGCACTTGCGCCTCATCTGCGCACACAGATTTGACTCATGCGCGCACACAGTCCATCGGGGAGACTCAAGTGCGCACACAGGCCCTTTCCCGCATGTTTGCTCACTTACAAGGGTCGTCAAGATGGAATGGCCACTTCCTCCTCTAAATTTTACCCTCCAGTGGCTCACCAAAGGGTGAGTCAACTTGGAATGACCACTTCCTTCTC